CCGGGCGTTAAGGACAATCTGTGCCGCTGAGCCCTTCTCAGTGGTGACACCGACGCAGTGAAGGAGCAGAGAGGGTGACGTTTAAAATGCACGTGATGTCTACTGACCATGCTGGCCTGTGCACTTTCAAAGGATTCATTCACGCAAGGGGCAGAGTGAATATTCTGGGCTTCAGGGTCAGAGTGGTTGTAGCTTCCCTCCTCTCCTTTACCCCCAATTCTTGTAAGCAACTGTTTTTCACCAGCTTCTTGCCAAGCTGCCCAGGAATTGTTTGCATCTAAGCTAATGTTAGTGTGTGAGCATTTGCAAAATCACTCTTCTAAAACATAACTGCTAGCGTACAGTAGGTTTAACAGGCGCCTATGGCGCGCAGGCGTTGCACCAAGTTGGCCTCATGGACACTCGCTGTCCCATTTCCTGCCCACACAGCCCGTCTCCGGAGCCCCGCACGCACAGCTGGCTGTGCAGTCTGTCAACAGGCCTGTTCCAGAAGGACCTCTGACAGGAGAGGCCTGGTTTCTCTCCCGTGTGTGGCTCCTCATCTTCCTCCCTCCTCTTTCGTGAGAGGAGAACGCTGAAGAGTGACACTGACCGCAGGGGCTTCTCAGGGCGAGCAGCGTGTGTGTGAAGTCCCTCGTGTCCTCTGGACTCTGAGGCAGTGGCATTGGTGGTGCCCTGGTGACGCAGGGAGCCGAGGTGTAAACTGAAAGCAGGCCCGACGCTTGTAGAAGCCATTTTTATTATCTGGAGAGCGATGGTCTCGTGGCAGTTTATCCCAATTTCAGTTTGACAACATCTACATGTTCTTTTTAAGTTGCTTGCTGAATTGGTGAGGTTTGTTACTTTAAAACGTTGACAGAACCTTCTGCCTTAAAACACGTCAGTGCCCTGGTTTTGCCTGCAGCCGGCACCTAGCGGAGACCTCAGGAAACCTCATCTCCGGGGAAGGGCTGTGCTTGCAGGGGGCGTAGGCCCCGAGGGGCTCCCAGGTGGAGGCGGCGGCCATCTCTGCTCCTGCAAAGTCCCATCTTTGTTGTCGACATGAACTGCCAGGCAGCTCTGTTTGGACGGAGCGGGAAGCAGATGCAGAGCCTTTGGGCTGCCTGTGCTGACCGCTGCCTGATTTCTTCCCGCCCCTGTGGGTTCTGCCCCCTCCTCACAGGAGCCGCCTGGATGGGGGGCATGGCTCCCCACTTTCCAGCCCCCAGCTTTCTGGGGACGGAAGCCCCGATCAGATTTTATTGCTTGTTTCTACTCTGCAGCCAGTGTCCACTCACCCAGGAGCTTCCCTAGCCCCTTCCTTCCCCTCAGTTTCCGTTTCCCTCCAGCATCACTGTCTGCCTTAGCTGCCAGGTTTCACTCAGGTCAGACACCTTCCTCCAGCGGAGACACGAGTCTCCAGACGGGAGTGCTCCTCTTCTGCAGCCAGAGCCCTGGCGGCTCCCTCCCCGAGAAGTGGTCACGGCGTCATGCCATTGCGAAACTTTGTGAAAACTGGATTTGTAAATGAAAAGAAACATTTCTGTCTTCAAATGGCTGAAACGAGGTTTCTGACTAGCCGCGCGCTGGCACAGAGCCTGCGGAGGAGCCGACGGTGTGCTGATGGAGGGCTTGGTGTTTTTGTCCACAGGCAGCAGGTGGAGGACGACTACAGCGCCCTGCAGGAGCGGCTCAGCACCCTGCCCGAGAAGCTGTCCTACAGCATCATGGTGGGTCGCATGTCCCCTACGGGACCCTTGTTTCTTGTGGAGACACTGCCCTGGGAAGGGATAGGATTCCCGTGCCTCCGGCGTCAGGTCACAGATGACCACGCCGAGGTCCTGCGTCAGAGGCAGCAGCCATAGGGCTCGTCTGTTTCACTTCACACTCACACACCAGTCGTAGTCATAGTGGGTCTTTTCTTCTTCCCCTTCCCCCCAGACTTACATGAAATGATCACATCATGGTGACATACATGGCAGAAATGCTAGCACACAGTCTGACATATTTGGTGTGCAGGTTTACTATGTCAGAAAACTGTAATTATGACAGAAATATCACACTTAGTCGCTTCCAGTTAGCCAAAGCAGGAACAGACCATACTGTTGCGTAATTCACAGAATTAAACCTTAGAATATTGATTTTATATAAAAAGGTCCTGCTAGTTTCTGTTTAAATGATCTTCATATTGACGTAGTCATCTGTTCACGAGCCCTGGATTAGATTCCTTCATTGCATGAATGTTCTTCATGAACACTGTTCTTAATTACACCAACCCAGGCACTTTGTGTGTTGTTGTCCATTCTACCGGCCTAAACATTTTATACATTTTGTATAAATGTTAAAGCTACTT